AACATGACATCTGAGCATCTTTATGATGTTGAATCTTTTTTTCTAAGAACATGGTATATCTTTCCATTTGATAAAGCTTACATTATGTCTTTCAGAAGATTTTATTCTATTCCTATATCAGTTTTCTGTGGCTGCTATATAACAAATTACCATGAACTTGGTGTCTCAAAATAACAGAAATTTATTCTCTCACAGTTTTAGAGGCTGTAAGTCTTAAAATCAGTTTCACTGAGCCAAAATCAAGGTGTAAGGCAGAGCTGTGTTCCCTCTGCAAGCTCTAAGAGATTTTTTTAAATGTTTATCTTTTTGAGAGAGAGAGAGAGTGAGTGTTAGCAGGGGAGGGGCAGAGAGAGAGGGAGACACAGAATCCAAAGCAGGCTCCAGGCTCCAAGCTGACAGGAGAGAGCCCGATGCGGGGCTTGAACCCACGAACCGTGAGATCATGACCTGAGCCGAAGTCAGATGCTTAACTGACTGAGCCACTCAGGTGCCCCAAGAGATAATATTTTAATTGGCTCTTCTAGCTTCTGGTAGCTGCCAGCATTCTGTGTTTTATGTCCATTTCACTCTATTCTCTGCTTCCTCCTCTATATTACCCTCTTCTTCTTCTGGGTATCAGATCTCTGTCTCTCTCTTATAAAAACATTTGTGATTGGATGTAGAGTTCACCCAGATAATCTAGGATAATCTCCTGTCAAGATCCTTAACTTAATCATATCTGCAAAGACCTTTTTTTCTTATAAGGTAACATTTACAGGTTCCAGAGATGAGGACCTGACCTCTGCATGCCTATATTCAGCCTAATATAATTACTCCTATAGTTTTGGGCATGTTTTTTTAAATTTATGATTAGATATTTTCTTTCATTATTTGTTATCAAAATAGCATCTTCTTTCTTATCTTTTAACTGGTTTATATTTGCATATTGATTTTCATAGATTGATTTTATAACTTGCTACTTTACTAAATTCTCTTAGTCCTTTTAGGAGCTTTTCAATGAATTCTTTTGTGTTGTCTGGAAGTATTATTATATCGTTTACACGTAAAGATAGTGTTATGCCCAGAATTCGTGATCCCCAAAGACCACTAGGGAGCCGAGTCCGATGCAAAAGCAAAGAGCCTTTATTCGAGCTAGCTCGAGCTCAATCCCCTACCTGCACCGACGCAGCGGTGAGATACCAGGGAAAGAGAGCGAGTTTCAAAAGGACAAAGGTTTTATTGGGGCCTGGGGGCAGTTGGTGAGGTAATGGCTATGGCCTCAGCCCATTGGCTGGGGAAGGGTCCTGGGGAAGGGTCGAGTCCTGTTAGGCAGGTGAGGGGGGGTTACTCAAGGGGAGGAGGTGTGGTCAAGGTGAAGGACACAGAACAAGATGGAGTCGGCTGGCGTAGGCCCGCCCTTTCAATAGTTTAACCTTTTTCTTCCCAATTCTCATGCTTCCAATTATTTTTGTTGTCTAATTACTAATAACCTCCAACACAATGTTAAGTGGTAATGGAAATCTTAGTATCCTGATCTTGTTTCTGTCTTTAGTGGGAAAGGGTCTAAGGTTTTTTATAGATAGGATCCAAGACATATTTTTAATGTTTTTTTTTAAGGATTTAAATTTATATTTTAAACTGAGAAATGTCAGGAGTTATCTTTATAGAACTTTTAAAGTGTTTTCAAGTATCTGTTTGGTTCCAGGTAGATACAGTATCTTAATTTTATAGTTAAGTAAATGTTCAGAGAAATTAAGTAATTATCTAAGGTCATGATGTTAGAAAGTGGTACCCACAGGACAAAAATCAAAAAAAAATTTTCACTGCAGTAGGCTACCTATTACTTTAATATTTTCCTCCAGGAAAACTATAGATTCAGGACAATGATTTACATACCCATAAGAATACATAAATAAGTTATTTTCCCTTTTAAAATGTGAGTTTTACTGGTTTACTATATTAAGTGATTGGGTGTGTGTGCTTGTGTGTTTTTAGAGAGTAAGATACTATATACGGAGAAGGCTAGTCCTCTTTAATGACCAACTCTGGTCCCATTTCCTCTCCTCAGAATCAATGTAGTATAAACCCTGACAGTTGTAGTATTTTTTCTTTTTTGTAATGCAAAGGCCAGACTTAAGCTTTGATTGTAGAGGCATCTATTTCAAAGAGTCATCCATTTCAAAGACTGCTATCTTGAATAAACACATTGCCAGCAGGCCACCCTGGTTCATTTATTTTAGAGATCTTAATTGATTTTGATAACTGACCTTTTGGGCTACTTGTTTTTTCCTTTCCTGTGCTTCAAATTCATGGTCTTATGTTTTAAATTCAATAAAGAGTGAACCCTAGGGTCCCCACATTTGACCCCAATAAAAAAAGAACCCCTGGCCCATTTGCACTCTCCACTCCTACCACCCTCTCTCTGGTGCTTTCTAGGGTGCTCTCTCCCTCCCTCTCTTTCTTTCTCTTTCTCCACCCCGTCCACCCCGTCCTCCTCCCCCAGTGTGGCCCCGGGTGTGCTATGCAATTTCAAGATCTTGTAAGTAATAAACCTTTTTTCCCCCCAAATTTCCTGATGGTTGTTGCTGAAGGGTGTTTTGCAATTATAGTAAGAACCACAAGGGTCAGTCCAGTGGTTACATTGGTTTGGAAAGGGGATTCTTCTCTGGAAACAGCTCTAGCTGGTAGTCTTACTATAGGTAGGCTGAGACTGACACAAAATAGGCAGTAGCTCACAAGAGTTAGGTATGTTAACCTTCTAGTTCCTTTTTAAAAATCCACAATTCACAGACAAAAATGTATGATACTGTGTCAGTGATTTTAAGAAAATTATTACAAGGTTTGGGGCGCCTGGATGACTCAGTTGGCTAAGGGACAGACTCCTGATCTCAGCTCAGGTCTTGATCTCAGGGTTGTGAGTTCAAGCTCTGCGTTGGGCTCCACACTGGGTGTGGACCTACTTAAAATATATATATAAATATTACAAGGTCATTATCAAAATCTACCTCTTTTTTCCTCACCCATCATCATCATATGGATCTTGAAGTATGCAAGGCTTTTCTAAGCATAACATAAAACACAGAATCTACTTTTAGAGTCAGATCTCCAGACAAGTCTGGTATCTTTCCACTGACTCTGCCTCACTAAAATGTTCTTATTAAGAAATTTTTAAAATTGAGAAATAAGCTATCAATTTTGGTTAAATATCCATCTGGTCTCTCTAAGTTGCAACAGAAGAGTTAAGGAAGAGAGGAAAAACATGTAAATGTAAAGCTTTTTTTTTTTTTACTGTTTTGTGCTTGCCAAAGTGCTGAATAGAAGTGCCTTCTGAACAGAAAGTTTGTTATTTCATTTTGCCTGAAGAGGGAGGGTTTAGGTATGAGTTATGCATGAGAGTTTGGTAAAAAATGACTTACTTTCTTCAATTAAGCCATTTATATCCATGATAGTGGCAAAATGATTTCAAAATGACATGTATAAAATCCCAGCACTTAAAATTAAAAGCTGTTTTAAGAAAAGGGGAGTTGAGCAGAATTTCAGAATATCTTATTCAATTATCTTTTTTGTTTTCCATGTTGGAAATGAGAAGCTTCATCAACCACTCAGATGCTGCAAAATACCAGTATAAATAGAACTGCCATTTTTGAACTAGAGTGTATTATACTAAGTGAAATAAGTCAGTCAGAGAAAGACAAATACCGTAATTTCACTCATGTGTGGAATTTAAGAAACAAAACAGATGATCATAGGGGAAGGGAAGGAAAAATAAGATAAAAACAAAGAGGGAGGCAAACCATAAGAATCTTAAATACAGAGAGCAAATTGAGGGTTGCTGGAGGAGAGGTGGGTGGGGGGATGGGCTAAATGGGTGATGGGCATTAAGGAGGGCACTTGTTGGGATGAGCACCGGGCGTTATATGTAAGTGATGAATCACTGGGTTCTACTCCTGAAACTAATACTACACCGTATATTAACTAACTTGAATTAAAAAAAAAACAACAACTGCCATTTTGTGTTGAGAGTGAAATGTTGATGGTTTAGAGCAGGAATTGGCAAACGTTTTCTGTGAAGGGACAGATAGTAAGTATTTTCAGTATTTGTATACCATATGGTCTCTATTGCAACTACTCAATTCTATTGTTGCAACCCAAAGCAGCCATAGATAATACATAAACAAATGGACGAAACTGGCTGGATTACAAGAAAACTTTATTTACAAAAACAGTTAGGTGGATATGACCCACAGGCTGTAGTTAGAGCTTTGCTGGGTTGAGGGCAGTTGGATACTGGTAAATGTTCAACAAATGATTTTTTGGAGAGACTAGTAAACCCAGATTTATAGCATTTGCCCATTTATATGATGTAAATACTCCCACCATCGTTGGTTTCAAGCTATGTATTTGACATTACTGAACAGGGACATAGAAAGAGATATAGAGTAGTACACTATTACAAGCATTTCTGCCATACAGCTATGAAAGATGTAAATAACCTCAAGACCATAGATAATAGTAAAATTACATAAAAATAAGAAGTGATGAATTTTGAGTATTTATTACCTTTATTTCTGATACAATTTATCTAATTGCAAATTAAAATAATTTTTAAGAGTGTCTATGTTTAATATTTGGCTTACAAAATTCCTAAAAAATTAATAATTGGCTCTAGTGAGCCAGTATGAGGCAATTCCAACACATCACTTCTAGAGATTATAATCAGGAATTTTGTTTTAATAAACTGCCTACAGAATCATAAGTTATATGGGAGGTAGGAGCGAAAAAATATAGAGAATTGTGTTAATATGCAACTTTTACACTAACCTTGTTCATCTGTTTTAACAATCTGAAAAAATAATTTTGTTTATATAAGTGAGAGTTGACTGAGTCAAAAGTGCTTTATTTCTTGGTTCTTTATCTCAACTTTTAAGTGATAATATATGAAGTAAATTTAGGTCAGTAGATTCTGTCAATATGTCAATATGTAATACTAAGTGTTACCATTTGATTTTTTTCCCCTTAAGGTATAACTGTGACGCCTGATGAAGAACAAAACTTAAATCATTATGTAGAAGTTTTACAGAACCTAATACTAAGTGTTCCTACTAGGGAGCCAGGTCGTGAGGAAAAATCAAAGTCTCCAAGTAATGCTCATTCTATAGGACCAAAGTTATCAAGATTTAAGGAGATAATTACACATGGAGACACTTCAACTAAAAATGATGTTTTAACGAATCCTGTCAGTGAAGAAACCACAGCATCTCCCACTGGAGGCTTCACAATGCCAGGAAGGAAGGAAAAATCTACTGAAAGTACAGCATTCTGGTCAATTAAACCAAATAATGTTTCGGTTGTTTTACATGCCGATGAACCTTATATTATTAAAGAGCCAGAGCCAGAGCCAGATTCAGAAGTAAGATCCACTGAGGCGCCAAAGCCATTGCCAAATGTTACTAAATCATCCACAAGTCCAGATGTCACCCCTTTAAGTAGGAGCACTGACATGGATACTGTCACAGAACCAGAAGATGTTCCTCAGCTCTCAGGCGAATATACAGTGGGAACACTTGAAACAATAACATTTGGAAGACACCCACAGATTTTGAATAATGAAGACATTTTGAAAAAAATTTCAGATATTAGTTCACAGGTGCGACAGGCACCTCTTGTTGAAAGCCTCAAGCCAGAATACAGAGAGGACATTCGAGCCTCTAGAGAGCACCTAAAACGAAGCCTTGCTTTAGCAGAAGCAGCAGAACATAAATTACAAAAAATGTATAGATCCCAGTTCTTACCACTTGGCCGAAGCAGTAGTGGAATTGATGACATTGAAACTGTAATTAACATGCTGTACAATTCTAGGTCTAAATTATCTGAATATTTGGATATTAAATATGTTCCACCAGACATGAGAGAAAAGGCTACTACAGTCTTCAATACATTGAAAAAAATATTATGTGTAAGTCAACTAGAAACTCAAAACCTTATTAGGAAGTTATTAAACAATAATATAAAAATGTTGCACCTACTTGATATTCCATGACAAAAATTGATTGAAACGACCTATGCATTCACTTCACAGAAGAAATAAGCACATTGTGATTCACAAGTTGTATAAAAATATTTTCTACTGTTCAATGTGCCAACATCTCTACATGTCATATGTTCTAAAATATTCTCATATGCACTAAAGCCTAATAATTTAAAATAAAATTTTGGTTCAGGAGTTCGTAGTTTTTTTTCCTCATTAATTAACTTAAAAAATTATGAAGATCTAATCTTTAAAATGTTTAAGCTTTGATTTTACTTGAATAGATTAAATTCACTTGTTTTATTGAGAGTCAAGAGACTGTGTGCAATCTGTATGTAGCCTGTTTTAAATAATTGAATATAAATGTAAGATGTTAGTACATATGGTCTTTATTACTCTTTCAGAGAATCTGAGAGTTTTCAATCTGAATAGCAAAGTTGGAACTTGAATCAGAACTTTTATTTGTATATATGTCTGCCTCCTTTGAAAGGTGGATGGTAGATGAAGATACAACCCTTTTTCTTTGTTATTAAGTACTTCTGGAATATCAGTGAGTGACTGTAATTTGGGCTTATAACGTAGTCATTCTCACTTCCTCCTTTTGTTTGTTTCTATACATTTATATTGAAGCTTTGCAAATCTTTTGTTCGGAGTATGACTAATGAAATTAAGGTTAACTGTGTAGTATCATGATCATGGGGCAAGTAATTCTCTTTCATGATTTGATCGGTATTATATTTAAATTCATTTATTCATTCACCGAGCCAGTAGTTTTAGCTTACTGGAGGCTTATTGACCTCCTACGCATAGGTGCAGGACAAAATGCTAGGCTTTGGGGATATAGTAAGACCTAGTTCCTTCTTCCTTTGAGAAAGACAGATGTTAAATAAATGACTTCAATAATTTTTAAATTTCAGTTGTGACCAATCAGTAAGAATCTGTGAGAAATTTGACCTCACCTAGACCAAAATAATGGGAAAGCTACCCTGAGAAGGTAGCATTTAAGGTGAGATCTGAAGGATTAAGGTGTGTGTAGGGAGAAGGAGGCATTCCGAGCACAGGCGACAACAGGTGTGATGCTCTGAGTTGGGGATGAGTATGGCAAGTTCAAGAAGTAACGAGTGGAGAAAGGTAGGCAGAACATCTCAAGATGGAGCTGGTCAGGTACACAGGGTTGGAGTAGATCCTGTGAGGCTTTAAAGCGTGTACTGACGATGTCAGCTCTTATCCTATGATCAGTGAGGAGCATTTGTGGACTTTAAGCAAAGGATGAGGTATGATCAAATTTGTGTTAAAAAAAACAACAACACTCTGGCTGTAGTTTTGAAGGTAGACAGAAGTAGAAGTGCACTATGCAAAGGCCAAATTTAGCTTGGACTAGTTCGAAAGAAGTGTTAATTTAGAGGTAGGAATCAACAGTATTTGGTGATTGCATGGATATGGAGACAGAGAGTAGCAGGGATCAAAAAGAATTCCTACCCAAAAGACCACATGGATTTTGTTTCACAACAACACTCTTCACTGGATTTTTTTGTTTGTTTATTTATTTTGTGCGTGTGTGTGTGTGTTGCTTATTTTAAAAAATAATTTTACTTTAGAAGATTTCAAACGTGAAAAGTCAGCAGATTAACATAATAAACCTATGTGACTGTCATCCGGTTTCGACAATGATCTGCTAACCACCAGTCCTGTTTCACCCAAACCCCCACCCTTTCTCCTCTTTCCTACTTTATGTTGAATTAAATCCCAGATACTTTTCATTTCATTTGTAAATATGACAGTGTGAAGCTCTTTAAGTTTAAAAAAAAAAACTACCACAATTTCATCACACATACAAATTTAATGATTCTTTAGCATCATCAAATAGCCAGTCAATGTTCAAATTAATAATTTTTAAATTTAGAATTTGTATGAATCAAGATCAAATAAAGTTCACACACTGAGATTGGTTGATATGACTCGTAAGTCTTTTAATCTTTCCCCCTTGAAACTTATTTGTCAAAGCAATTGATCATTTGACCTATAGTTTTACACCTGTGGATTTTGCTGATTGTATCCCCATGATGCCATTTAGTATGTTTTCCTGTCTTCCGTATTTTCTGTAAATTGATAGTTGAGTCTGTCAGACTTTATCAGACTCAGGTTTGTCTCTTTTTTTGTCAAGATAGTGTAGTATTCTTCCATCTGGTTGTGTTTGCTTTTGTATTTATAGAGCAGCCTTTGATAATCATTATCTAGATAGATTATTGATCAGGTGTTGCAAAATGTACGTATCATTCCTTCCTTATTAGCTGGAATATGTCTGTAATGAGAAACTTCCTCTCTATTATTTGATTCCCTAGGGGTCTGGGATATATTGGAAAGACATAAAATCTTTCTTTGTTTAACAGTTTTCAAAATAGTTTAGTTCATAGAATCCTCCAATGGTGACTTGTTTTTTAAAATTAGAACTTTATTGGGGCTCCTGGGTGGCTCAGTCGTTTGAAAGCGTCCCACTTTGGCTCAGGTCATGGTCTCACGGGTTCATGGGTTTGAGCCCCATGTCCGGCTCTGTGCTGACAGCTCAGAGCCTGGAGCCTGCTTCCGATTCCGTGTTTCCCTCTCTCTCTGTCCCCTCCCCCACTTGCACTCTGTCTCTCTCTCTGTCTCTCTCTCTGTCTCTCTCTCTCAAAAATAGACATTAAAAATTTTTTTAATTAGATCTTTATTCTTTTGGAACAATTGTAGTCTTACAGAGAAATTGATGGGAAAATACAGAGTTCCTACATACCTCCCTCTAGTCTACCATAGTTTCCTGTATTATTTACATCTTATGTTAGTGTGGTACATTTTTTACAAGTGATGAACAAATATTGATACATTATTATTAACTGAAGGTCCATAGTTTACATTAAGGTTCACTCTTTGTGTTGTACATTCTATGGGTTTTGACAAATGTAACATGTATCCACCATTACAGTATATCATATACAGTAGTTTGCCCTAAAAATTCCCTGTGCTTCACCTATTCATCCCTCTCTCTTCCTCCCCCATCCCTCCAAACTCTGGTAAAACTGATACTTTTACTCTCTCTATATGTTTGTCTTTTCTGGAATGTCATGTAGTTACAATCTTATAGAATATAGCCTTTTAAGATTGGCTTCACTTAACAATATGCATTTAAAATCCCTCCATGTCTTTATGTGGCTTAACAGCTTTCTTTTAGTGCTAATATTCCATTGTATGCATGTACCACAGTTTATACATTCACCTATTGAAAGACATCTTGGTTACTGTCAAGTTTTGGCAATTATGAATAAAACTGCTATAAACATCTGTGTGCAGGTTTTTAAGTAGACATAAATTTCAATTATGCCAGTTTTTTTTTCATATCTTTGAACATGCAAAGTTAGCAAACTTTTATATTTTGGCCAATCTGATAGATGAAAAGTGTTACCTAGTTGTTGCTTTAATGTATATTTCTTTAATTATGAGTGAGGTTGGGCATTTTTAAAAAATTTTTATTTCTGAAAATGGCTTGCTCATGTTTATTTCTCTACTGGTTTGCTTTTCCTTAGTGATACATACAATCTTTTTGTGTAACAAGGGAATTGGAATTGTGTGTCATATTTTTACAGCTGTTTTGACTAGTTTACTATTTGTATTTTGATATTTCCATGTATAAATTGAAAATATTTATAAATTCAAATTTATAATTTTTTTTCCTTTGGGTGCCTTTATGTTTTGTGTCACCTTTCCCTCTCTGAGATTTTACAAAATTCCTCTTTTTTATTCTAGTGTTTTAATAGTTTTACTTTTTAAAAAATGAACTTTATTTTTTAGAGCAGTTTTAGGCAAATTAAGCAGAAAGTGCAGGGATTTCCCATATATACTCACACATGTATAGCCTCTCCCATTATCAACATCCCCCACTAAAGTGGTATATTTGTTACAATTGCTAAATCTACATTGTTGTATCATTATAACTCAAAGTCTGTATTTTAAATTAGGGTTCACCCTTGGTGGTATATTCTGTAAGTTTGGCCAAATGTATAGTGATATTTTCCCACCATTATAGTGTCATAAAGAGTAGTTTCACTGCCCTAAAAATCCTCTCTGCGCTGCCTATTCATCCCTCCCTCCCATCAACCCCTGGCAACCACGGATCTTTTTACCGTTTCCATAGTTTTGCCTTTTCTAGAACATCACGTAGTTGGACTCATACAGTATATAGCCTTTTCACATTGGCTTCTGTCACTTAACAATACACATTTAAGATTTTTCTGTGTCTTTTCATGGCTTAATAGCTCTCTGAATAATATTCCATCATCTGGATGTACCATAGTCTATTTATCCACTTACCAGTAAAGGACATTTTGGCTGCTTCCAAGTTTTGGCAATTATGAATAAAGCTGCTATAAATAACCATAAGCAGGTATTTGTGTGGACATAAGTTTTCAATTCCTTTGAGCTAATACCAAGGAGCACAATTGTGTTGTGGGGTTGTATGACAAGAGCATTTTTAGGTTTGTAGAAACCATGAAACTGTCTTCCAAAGAGGCTGTACCATTTATCATTCCCACCAGCAATGAATGAGAGTTCCTGATGCTCCACATCCTCACCAGCATTTGGCGTTGTCAGTGTTTTGGGTTTTCATCATTGTAATAGGTGTGTAGTGCTCTCATTGTTGTGACCTATTATTTTTTAATTAAAATTTTTATTTTTTGATAACTATAAACATGCAGTTGTAAGAAATAATATGAAGAGATCTAGTTAATGAGCTCTTTACTCATTCCATCCAATGGTAATATCTTTTAACACGATGGTAAAATATCACAACCAAGATAAATATGTTGGTATAAGAGACATTAACCATTCCATGAGGATCTCTTATGTTACCCTTTTATAGCTACACCAACTCCCCTCCTGCTTTCACACCCCCCTAACCACTGGTAACCACTATTATCTGCCCCATTTCCATAATTTTATCATTTCAAGAATATTACATAAGTAGAATCATACAGTATATTGTATACTTTTGAGATTGACTTTTTTCACTTGGCTTAATATTCTGGACATTTATCAGGGTTGTTGCACCTTATCAATCCCTTCCCTTTTACTTGAGTCATGCCGCACACTTTGTTTAACCATTTACCTGTTTAACAGCCTCTGGGTTATTTCCAGGTTTGGGCTATCACAAAACTCGTGTAAACATTCATTTACAGGGTCTTTGGGTGGAGATAAGTTTTCATTTCTCTGGGATAAATGCCCAGGAATGAAATTTCTGTGATATGTGCTAGTTACATATTCAGTTTTATAAGAAACTGCCCACCATTTTCCAGAGTGGCTGTGCCATTTCATAATACCGCCAGCAATGTATGAGTTTCTCTGAAACCTCACCAGCATTTGGTGTCCTCACCATTACTTAACATCTATTTATTTTAAGATATACAATTCAATAAATTTAGTATACTTATAAAATTTTACAACCATCACAACTGTCTGATTCCAGAATATTTCAACACCCCCGTGAGAAACCCCCATACCCATTAGCAGTCATCTCTCCATTCCTCTCTCCCCCAGTCCCTGGCAACTGTGTTCTGTCTCTATGGATTTGCCCATTCCAGACACTTCATATGAAGTAATCATACAATATGTGTTTGTAACTGGCTGCTTTCACGTAACAATGTTTTCAAAGTTTACCCATATTCTAGCTTGTATCAGCACTTCATTACATAATGGAATAATGGAATTATGGATTCCATTACATAATGGAATATTCTATAAACATATTGCATTTTGTTTATGCATGTCTCAGTTGATAGACTTCAGGTTGTTTCCACTTTTTGGCTATTAGGAATAGTGCTGCTACAGATGAACATGCTTTTGTGTGCATGTAAGTTTTAAATTATCTTGAGTGTATACCTAGGAGTAGAATTGCTGGGTCATATGGTAACTTTATGTGTAACTTTGGGAGACTGCCAAACAGTTTTTGAAAGGGGCTGAACCACTTTTTACATTCCCCCCCCCCCCGCAATGTATGAGGATTTCAGTTTCTCCACATCCTCCCCAACATTTACCAATGTCTTTTTTTTATTATAGCCATCCTTCTCTGATGGCCAATGCAGTTACATACCTTTTCATGTGTCAGTTGGCTATTTGTACATCGTCTTTGGAGAAAAGTCTATCTGGATCCTTTGCTATTTTTTAAGTTTAATTTATTTTTTTTAATTTACATCCAAATTAGCATCTAGTGCAACAATGATTTCAGGAGTAGATTCCTTAATGCCCCTTACCCATTTAGCC